TTCGCACAATGTGAGAAGTCTCTTCCTATTATCCGAGCGGCTTTCATCGCGTGTATGGTGAACACCGAGGTGATTTTCGCAAGACAACAGACGACCGATCCTTGCGACGAGATCCCCAGCAAGAACAACAAGATCGGATTTGTAAGCTTTGCCCAAGAGCTGATGAAGTTCACTGTGGAAATTGTCCTTGACTGAATTGGAACTGCAGTCATTTGGAGTGTAATCCGAAAGCACACAGAAGTTGCGTCTCTTCTTCCGATAGCTGTTGATCCTGCATGATCCCCGAAGCCAAACTGCACACAATCGGCTATTAATCGGAAAATATCGGCTTTGCTGCTTTGCGCTATACTGACGCCAGCCAAACCTGTCGCACCTGCTTCTGTGTCACCAGAGAAATGTAGGGGAAATAGGTCATTGTGGTCAGTGGGAGATTTCAACTCAAACACAATACTGGGATCCTGTAGGCATGTTTTGTCAAGAAATTGTTTGAAGTAAAATTCATAATATGAATTCATACTATGCATTTTACTTCAAACAATTTCTTGATGCTCTGGCCACCGCAGAGGATAATCAACGGTGCTCTATCTGCTGCATCGAGCAGAGTGGATAGGGGTTTGGATGCTACTGCCCAAGCCTTCCCGTCTTCTTATTCCCCATCTTACCCTTTTTCACTCTTACCGTCCCATTCCAACTTCACTTATATCCCCCCAGTTTTCAACCCCCCGATTCTTGGCCCTCCCCCAACATGCTTTGCTAGGCATTTACCTTCTAATTTCAACTCACATGTGAACGCGGAGTGTCACTCCTCTCCTGTCGACAAGCCCATGTCCAACCAAGCGGTCCAATCCAGTTCATCGGCTTCCATTTAGAGCCCTCGATCCTCCTTCAGATTGGCATGCCTCAATGTACGCACACTGCTACAAATCGGTCAACAGGCGGCACTTGCCCGAACATTGGAGACCCTCTCGATCGATATCTGCTGCTTATCAGAGACTCGCCTGCAAGACTCGAGCACTGTGCTCACTCTGCGATCTCCTTCAGGTGACGCAAGCAGTATTTTCTCCTTGCGCCTATCCGGTGACGATGTAGCTTCGAGCACCGGCCAAGCCGGTGTTGGTATTGCCCTGAGTCCCCGGGCTGAAGCTGCTCTGGTTGATTGGATTCCAATCAGTAGCCGGATGTGTGCGGTCCGATTGGCTGGCTTGTTTAAAGCTTCGAAGTCGCGCGGGACTAATAGATGTCTATTCATCATCGCTGCCTATGCGCCCACAAACTGTAGCGATGATTCGGCAAAGAACGACTTTAACCGCCAACTGAACCAGCTCCTTCGCCACAGAAGAAGCACGGACACTGTTGTGCTGGCGGGGGATATGAACGCACAAGTTGGAAAGTTGTCCACTGATGAAATGCATCTAGGCGGTCAGCACGGTGTAGGCTCCCGTAATGATAACGGTGAGCGGTTACTTCATTTGTGTGAAGATGCTCGCTTATTTCTTGCGAGCACTAATTTCCGACACAGCACCCCCCGAAGGGTGACTTGGCGCCCACCAGCATCGAACCAGCCTTGGACGCAGATCGATCACATTGCGATAAGTTACCGCTGGAGAGGCTGCATCCAGAATTGTCGCTCGATTTGGAGCACATATGTGGACACCGACCGTGCACTTGTATGTGCTGACATGCGGATGCGTTTTGGTGGACGCCTACAACGACGCTATGAGCGTATTGACACCAGCCAACTGACAAAGCCAGCTGTTCTGAATGCGTATCGAATTATGCTGACATGCGAACTGAGTAAGCGCTCACAGGAGAAAATTGATGGTCGCTGGTCACATGTTCGCCAGAACTTACTAGCAACAGGCAACTCCTCATGTGATGTGTCTAATCGCCAACATAGACATTGGGTCTCTTCTCGGTCTCTGGAACTTATCGACGCTAGCCGGCATATCCCGGCTGGAAGCGAACACAATGAAACTCGCAAAGAGCTCCGGGCAAAACTCCGTGCTATTCTGAAGAGAGACCGCGAATCTTGGTGGTATCATCGTGCGTCAGAGATGGAAGTGGCCACTGCCTTTGGCAACCATCGTAAGTTATTCCGTCTGATACAGGAAACTGGCAGCAGGAGACTTGGTGTTAGTGAAACTATACGTGACGAGAATGGACAGCCTATCCACAATTTGTCAAAACGTCTAGAGCGTTGGGCTGAGCATTTTGAAAAGCAATTTAATCGGCAAGAATTGTTCGATTCGCCGGTCACTGATTGCCCTGCTCCGTGGGCTGTCCCTTTGGATCCACCCTCTCGCTCAGAAGTCGAACGTGAGATCGGACTGTTGAAGTTGAACAAAGCCGCGGGACCAGATGATCTTCCTCCAGCTCTTACCAAATTCGGAGGCTCTGCTCTTGTTGATGCTTTGCATGAATTACTAGTGAAACTGTGGGAGCAGGAAACTGTCCCAACCGACTGGAGCCGCTCCGTTATTGTTCCCATTTTCAAAGGCGGCTCGCGCTCGGAATGCGGCAACCATAGAGGAATCAGTCTGATCTCCATCGCCTCCAAATTACTCGCATCCATAATTCTTCACAGACTGACTAGCGCTCGTGAAATCCAGATTCGTGAGGAGCAAGCCGGGTTTCGTCGTGGTCGTGACTTCATCGACCACATCTTCACCTTACGTCAGTTGTTGGAGCACAGTCACACATATTGGCGGCCCACCGTTTTCGTGTTCCTCGACATCAAAGTGCCTTCGATTCGATTGATCGATGTGCCTTTTGGAATTGTCTACTCAGGAAAGATTTGCCCGAGAAATATGTAAATATTATCCAAGCATTATATGCGTGTAGCACGGGCAGAGTGAGGGCTTACGGCAAGCTGTCGTCGCCCTTCAATATCTCCAGCGGTGTGAGACAAAGATGCCCGCTGTCACCTTTCCTATTCAACTTCGCTGTTGACGAAGTCATGGAGATTGCATTTACAGGACATGACTTGGAAGGAGAACGATCTCTTGACTTGGAGTATGCAGACGACATTGCCCTCATCTGTGACAGCTCCCAGACTTGCCAAGCCGTGCTGGACAGATTAGCACTGGCTGTCAGTCGCTTCGGGCTTTGCTTTGCACCATCGAATTGCAAAGCGTTCCTCCAAGATTGGCAGGGGTCGCCCCCTGTGCTGACCCTTGGTGGGCATCAGCTAGAAGTCGTTCAATATTCAACCACCTGGGAGGTTGTATCAGGGCCTTCGGGATCGAAGACGAGATCTCGAACCGTATAGCGTAAGCTCGAAGTGCTTTTGCTAGTCTTCGCCACCTACGGCGACGGCGCGACATTACTCTCGCCCTGAAGGGTAGAGTGTACAATGCAGCGGTACGTTCGACCTTACTGTACGGTTGCGAGACCTGGCCCCTAAGATCGGCAGACATGAAGAGGCTACTTACGTTCGACCATCGGTGCTTTCGCAGTTTGGCTCACATCTGGTGGGAACACCGCGTGAGTAACGAGCGTGTTCGACGCCTTGTTTACGGCCCAGGAAAAGGGAATGAACCGCTCAGCACCGTCATTTCCCGCACCAGGCTCCGATGGCTGGGCCACATGTAGCGCATGCCAGCCCACCGACTCCCTCGACGTGCGTTGTTTGCTCACCGGGGATGTGGGTGGAAGAAGAGGAGAGGTGGCCAAGCGATGACTTGGTCCAGAGGAATGAAGTCCCTCACTTCGGAGCTAGCCTCGGTTGGAGCTTCACGGCTCCCTGGTTGGGGTCCAAAATACGGTGAACACGTTTGGCTGGATACACTTGCTGACATGGCAAGGAGCCGACCTCAGTGGCGTTCGTGCTGTGAGTTTCTTTGTCCCTCCCCATCCCTTTTAGTCTCCCCCTCCATCTACGATCTCATCTCCTAGGGTAAAACATAATAATAAAAATTTTTTTTTCTTTTTGCCTAGTAGCTGGCTGGAAGCTTACCGGAACGATGCCTATCCGTTGCTGGTAGCTCAGCTGTCATGCAACTGTCGTATTTATTTTTTCTTTATATATTGTATGTATGTGTGTATTTCCTTCATATATTGCGGTACAATAGCGGAGATGTTTTACCACCTCTAGCTGACATGTAGAATGATGATGATGATGATGTAGGCATGTTTTGGAAGGGCAACAAACATCGAAGGCGAAGGATTCCAAGGTGCGCGCCTGACCAGGTTGCTGCCCGATCTGCGTGAGTGTACGTACATTGAAGCATGCCAAACGGAACTTGGATGGTGGCCGAAAGAGTGCAACTAGAGCAATTCTGTGGGTTTTGACGGAATTGTCGAGAGTAGAATCATGGAAACAGAAATCAACTGGTGATGGATAACACTGGTTGGCAACAAATGAACGGTTGTCGTGTGCCTAAGGTGTTGAAGTAGCATGAGCAATAGCAGCTTAATGCTATATATAGCATACTAGCAGTGCATAAATTTGTCAGTGGGAGTGATACTATCCGGTTGTCCGAACCGTAGTTGGCTACACAGCCTGCCCGCAAGGCGGCGGGGCGATTTCAGAGAACTGCGCCCACTGCTAGTCGGTGATAGAATATTTCGTTCATACGCCTTTCGTTTGTTTTGTTACCAAAAGGGTGCCCAGTCCTCCCCCTGATATCAGTACAGTTACTAGAATAAAATGCGCACCGAGGTGAAGCAAGCGGCAGGGGCTTTATTTAATGGCGTGTCACATCCGTCACGTCACAGGGTTTTTAAACAGACATTTGTGAATTTTTATGGGACGAATACTTGCTAGGCGCACACCCATCTTGTCCGGGACCACTGCCGCAGAAAAATTCACTATAACTTGGTATATCCGAAGCAACCAGCTGGCACCACCAGGAGTTGGTTTGATAAACCAGCCCTTTATTATCTGATCAATCGCGGAATGTCATTCTGATTGTGATTGTGGTAACTCATCATTTTCCTCTATAATATTGTTTATTTTTTCATGCTATGTGTAACTGTCATCCTTTTGTGTTCCGTTCTAGAAGAGCGACCTTACAAATGCAAGTACTGTGAGAAAACATTTTCTCGGTTGGGTATTCTTCAGGTCCACGAGAAATCTGTTCATCTTGGTGAGTAGAATGTTTAGTGGACCATGGGTTTGCAACCTTTTTCCTGTGATCCTACCTTAGAGACGTTCGCACAAAGTAGTCAAAAACCACGTCTTCAGTAGAGACGTGTGCAAGTTAAGAACGCTGAATACGCGGCGTTTGCATGAGAGTGGGTGCGGAAGAATAGGTTCAACGTTAGACCTCCACTCAAATTTATTGTTCTTTCAAAGTGCGCCACCAAGAGTGTGGTGGCTTGCGGTGTCAGATATTGTAAACTTGAGGCAAACTCACACTAATGCTTCCTGCCTTCCACAACGGTTGTTTGCTGAGAAGTGGTTAAGCGCAGCAGGTTGTTTCATCTTACCTTGCTAGCAAGTTGGTTGTGCACGACTCGATGGTATTGGGATAAACGTCACACGATACAACCCTTACACTGCGGCTATGTGAGCAGCACGAGAGAAATGCATTTCTGGTTTCTTTAGCGGAAAATTCCCAACTTCGGACGTGTCGGTTTCCCTATGTGTTTCGCGAAGTTGTTTATTCATTGTTTGTCATTTAGTACAAAAAATCAGAACCAATTTTGCTGTTCAGGGGGAACTGAGCTCACTGCGCAGATGATTCTAGTCCTGCTTTCCGAAGGTGTACAACCATGTGCTGGTGTGCAAACGTTACTTTACTTCGCAGGAGCTATATTATTTAATTGCTTATTTCTAAATAGTTTTACGTTGATTCCCGTTCACTTAGCCGTTCGTAGGTGCCTTCAACACTTACCAACACGCAGGTGACGGCGAGTTGCGCCAATTCCCGCCGGCCTTTCGTCTGTCCAAGTCCCCTGAATTATTGGTTGCCAACACATGATACGTTCATTGACTAGACCCGATGCCATCTGACATGTTGTCCGTACACCTCACCCACCAAAGGTACTGGTCAACACAACAATTCTGTTCCTCAGCGATGATCGACGCATGATCAGCCCGTCATTGCATGCGAACTCAATGCATCACGAGCGTTGGAAGCGTAGCTTACGCGACACATCTTTTTTGGATAGTCAGTTGCCCCAAGGATTGTAACGATTCACTTGGCTTGCATTACCAGTCGGCATTGCTGAACATGATTCATTAGGTCGATTTGGCACCGAAAGAAACGTTCCCTGATTCTCATCATAATTGCCATATAATTTCTATACAAGCGGTATTGTGCCGTTATCAGGTCCCTCTGCTTTTGCATCGTTACAAATATTGAGCACCTTGGACTGCCATGGGCTTTCTCGTGTCAGTGAGTAGTTCCATCGTCGAGTTCGCAAGGATTTGGGTGAATGGACTGAATTATCAGGCTATATCACAGGTACAGTGTAATCACTGATAATCGGCTGTCCGCCCTCTTAACTTGGCTGCTGGTCAGTGATGTAAGCCACTAGCGGATATGGGGTCGATCCGCAGCAAAAGACCAATGGAATGCGCACCAATGACAAGCCCAATAGTGTGAAACCATCTTTCGGCGTTTCTCCAGACTGGTAACTCACCTTTAAGACATGTAATCTTATTGGGATGCACTAAGTAAAATTATATCACAGTGTGTCGCATTATAAAATCTAAGTGATTTTCAATACCATTCATATATACTGCAGTCTGGTGAAATATTTCAGGCTGGACCTTTGTTATGCTGGTTGTGTACCAGCATTTTCTTCGTATTAATCCTCGTTTAATCAACCCTAGAATCTTTCTGACTGATTTTGGCAACTCAGTACGTTTCCTCTATGACATCGTTTATGCTTTCCTGATGTGTATAACTGTCAAGTATTTGTTTTCCGTTCCAGAAGAACGACCGTATAAATGCGAGTACTGTGAGAAAACTTTTCCTTTTATGAACAGGCTCAGGCTTCACGAAAACTCTGTACACCTGAGTGAGTACAATGTGTAGTGGATCGTCCAATTGCAATACTTGTTGCATTGGTTCTGGCGTAGCGACAAAGTGAATGGAGATCTCGAACATGTTTGAAACCGATGATTTGCACAGATTTTTCGTCAATGATCTACTAGTCAGTATTTCAAATAGATATAAAGAAGGACATTTTATTAAATTATTGGTGTGGAAACACATTTAGCCGTTTTTTAGAATGTGGACAACTGCGCAATACAGCAATTTTTCCTCAGATTACTGAGGCAATGGGTAGCCCACTAGGCCCTGTACTTGCTGATTTCTTCATGCTAATGATATAAAGAGGCATATCCACAGAAATGGCCCAGTTGCCATACTATAAGCGTTATGTTGATGACATATTGGCCTTTTGCTCATCGGAGCAGCAGATTGTCCAGTTGGTGCAGCAACTCAACTGCGCACATACCAACTTGCGGGTCACCTGCGAAGTGGAACAGAAGAACTGTCTGCCATTCTTAGACATCCTCATCAATCGCAGAGATGACGGGCTCATTAGAAGGTCTGTCTACAGAAAAGCAACCTGGTCCGGCCAATACCTGCACTTCACCAGTTTCACACCAGTGCGGTACAAGCGGACCCTAGTGAAAACTTTAGTTAGTCGTGCTAGACGAATTTGCTCCGCTGATTGTCTAGCCGACGAGCTAGAGTTAATTACAACAACACTCATTGCAAATGGTTATCCACGTAGATTTATAGAGAGACACAGCCAACAGCGAGGCCCGAAAGACTTGGTGCATACGGCAGCCAAGAAAAAGATCTATATCGAGTTGTCATTCAAGGGTGACTTTACTGTATTGAAAAGCACGAAACGTTTAATCTCTGCTACGCAGAGAAGTTACTGTGCTGCTCAGGTTGTGGTCATTAATAAAACCTGTAACTTGCCGGTGCCTCCAATGAAGGAAGCTCAACCGATAGGGGCCAACTCACACTGCATATACAAATTCGTATGCGACTGCGGAGACAGTTACATAGGCAGAACCAATCGGTCTTTGACTTCCCGAATAAAGGAACGTGAAATTGACCAGCATCCCTGTCCCACTGAAGTTCCGCGCTTGCGCAAGCCGCCAGCTTCCTCAATAGGTAAACACCTACTGACTACGCGTCACCGGATAGAGCACGGATCAGCGTTCACGCTTGTGTTACGTCACCCTAATCCTCGCTTCCTCCGTTTCGCCGAGGCCGTTGCGATAAGCCGGATGAAGCCGGCCCTGTGTGTACAAAAGCAATTATTTATCAGATTAAGACTGCCGTGGACATAGGGGTGGAACTTCCGTCATTCATTTTTCACCTCATGCTTATTCGGTCACACGCATATTTAAGTATATAGTTGCATACCGGTTATTGTTAATGGTACTGAGGAGACAATACGAAATGCATGCACCTACCAGTTTTCGTCTTCTTACCTTGCTTTTCAAATGAACAATGCATTTATACGGATTAAGAAGTGTTGCTTTACAAGTCCCGTTGGATGTTTGGTAGGGATATCGAAATAATAATGGTGGTAATGATAATAATAGTAACACCGTTAGTAATTTAACTATGAAAATAAGGACTAATCGTTTGCTCCGCTCTAGTCCTACGATCGGCGTACACTCGGAACACCCATAGATAACATCAACTAAATCCATGGTACCCTCCAGGAGTAGGATGGAAACGTAGCGCTGTGACAAGTGTAAGTGGATGAGTGCGTCATTCAACCGGCTTTTAAATACTATTGGTGGCGGTGAGGGGACGACCGATTCATGGAGCGCATTCCATGGGTGACAGACACGAATGGAAAAGACATTTCTGTGGCACACCAGACGGCTCTACTATTCTGCGAGTTTCAGTGAGTGGCCTCTCAGGTTCGTATTGCTGCTGAGTTGCAGTAAAGGACGGCACACATGATCTGGGACTTGCAGAATCAAGTATGTCATAATCAGGTCGCCTCGTATTCTGCGATAGCATCCACTGAATAACCCAACTGGTTTCAGCCTGTCCTCGTATGAAAGAGTTCGCATTCCAATTACGTTCTTAGATGCGCGACGTTGTGGCTGTTCCATTGCATTATGTTTCAGCCATGGATGCCAGACTTGGATTGCGTATTCGACATGGCGGCGAACAAACACACTGAGCATTTGTCGAAATATGGAAATGTTTATCTATCCAAACACCAGTCGCAACAGCCCGATATGTTGGCTGCCAGTCTTAGAGACCTTTTCGGATTGTGTGGAGCAACCCAAGTCATCTTGAACCAGGACACCCAAGTCACTTTCGACACTAAAGAGGATGCAGTACATTCGTTCCAAGCCGGTATAAGTAGCTGCCCTGATGTTGGATATAATGTACCTTGCATTTACTCACGTTGACTTGCCGTATATTTTGAGCTGACCATGGACATACTTTGTTTAGATCACTCTGAAACAGATAACGGTCGGCGTTCGCCTGGATCCAGCACCAGCTCTTGATATCGTCAGCAAACTTTAGGCAGTTTGAAGCGATTTAGTGTGAGGTCATTAATAAACGCCAAAAGCAAAGGTGGACCTAGAACTGAGCCTTAAGGCACACCTCACTGGACTTTTATGGGGTCCCATAAAGAGCTTCGAACTCTGACCACTAATTGCCGTTGAAGCAAAAAGTTGCCAATCCAGCTTAGAAATGGGTCGCCGATCCCGTAATGCTGGAGCTTGGAGAGTAGTATCCGATGGTATAGACAATCGAAAGTCTTCGAAAAGTTGAGATTGATCACATCAACGCTTTCTCCAGCGTCAGCTGATTCGGTACAACTACGGCGTGCGATAGCAAATTCCTTATACATGACCGCTGTCGAAGGAAATCGTGCTGCTCATGCGTGATGATGTTACAGTTTTCCAAATAGCACATCATTGAATCGGCAACTATGGATTCAATGACCTTGGAGAGTATAGGATGAGGGGATACTGGGCGTTAGTTGGAAGCTTCGGTTCTGCTGCCAGATTTGTGAATCGGGGTTATTATTCCAAGCTTCCACATAACTGGAAGTAGATCCTTGTCTCAGCAGCGCTAGAAAAACCGAGCTAAAATTCCTGCCAATTGGCTTGCTGCTGCTTTCATTGCAGCTAAATGAATGGTGTCGACACCCGGCAAGCTGTGTTTGCGTACAGAGGTCAGCCTTTTTAATCCAGCCTTCGCGGTAAAGGTCATGTGGGTTAGTCCTGACAAGGAGACGACAAAGGTTGGAAGGTCGCTTGATGGCAAGGTCCTTTGAAACGTGGGAGCGTATTGCATCCGCAGCTCGTTTGCTGCTTCCACAGCCGTTCTTGTTGGGCCATCAGCTATCCTGGGTGGACGAAATGCTTGCCTCACCTTTCGTAGGCTATTAACGTGCTTGTACAGCAGTTTGTGGTTATCTCTGAAGATTTTTGCAATGTTGTTGTGATAGGCGATTTTGTCTTCTCTGAGCAGTTGAGTGCAGTGGTTACGTTGGGCTACGTAGTTGACCCAAGATTTTTGTGCTAGAGCTTCTCTGTACACTCGCCATGCTGCGTTGCGTAATGTTCTTCATTTTCGAGTTATGCTCCTAAGAATAGAAACTGATGCCGAGTTATAGCAAACTGTTATCTCAGAAGCTGCAATCAGCTGACTGAAGTTGTTAACGAACTCGAGCAAGGCGATTTCCGTGGGCTCTTCAACAAGGAACGTCCAAGTTTTAGTGCTGACGAGCTTTGCTGATCGACCATAGCTTGTGTTGGTTCGCATAGTCTCATCGTTCTCATTCCGGTATTCTGCCTAGCAAACAAAGTTGAAACTGGTGACTGCGTGATCACTGCGACCCAACTGGCAGCTTACGGCCAACACATCAATCATATGCTCTTCGTTGGTAAGCAAAAGATCCAGCACAGATGACTTGTTATCTGTTCTGAAACGGGTGGGCAAATAGATGTGATTGTAAAGCGGAACAGTGGTTACGTGCTCTTGTAGATCAACTTTGAATTATTCTCCGATCGTGAGAAGGTTTCCAAATAATGTACTTTGAAATCACCCATGATATGAATGTGAGTTTAATTTCCCTGTAAACTGCATCTTAAAGCAGCCGTAAGGTGGCAGTCGGTTTTGGGTGTAGTGTTAGGGGATGGTACGCCGAGGCAATAATGCAAACGACTCTGCCTATTAACTGCAAGCGGTACCAAAGAGAGTCGGGAACCGTGCGATTGAATCCTCAACATTGCTGCACTGTAATTCGCTTAGGTAATACAGAATTGCCCCTCCTCCTTTTGTGAGTTTATCCTTCCGGATGAGCGACATGCCCGGTATCGAAACTTCAGCGTATATCATTCCCGTGTGCATACACGTCTCCGTGATACCAATAACATCATATGACCCGGAAACTTGGCGATCTTTCAGTCCGACCAGTTTCTTAAAAATACCCTGAGCATTGGTATACAAGCAGGCCAGTTTCTCGGTTCCTAGGAGCCCACAGATGGCTGAAAGGGTCAGATGTAATAGGATGGGACTTCAGCGGTTACACCTTTTCTTGACAGGATAATGATTCCTCGTCCGTAACTTGCTTCTGCCAAAGCGAGTCCCCATCTCCGTTTCAAACTACGTCAGAGTCGAGTAAAGCAGCAGTCAAATGGTGCTCCTGTATCATCGTCGGTACGTTTGCTGCTTAAGGTGCCTTAATATTTGCACAAGGCAAAGCTTTTGTGACCTTGAACCAATGTGCAGAAGGAAGATTTTTCTGATTTTGCTATCGATTCAAAACTTCGGTTGGTGTTTGCCCTGACTGAACCACTATTTTTGTGCTTCTATCTTCGCATCCTCTATAATTTGGTGGGATAAGTATCCTGGTGAGCGATAGCGCCTAAAGATTGTTCAAGGAAAGTGTTTCACGAATGGACCGCCATGGTTTTAGATCGTGCTTTCCGGTCTCTTGAACATAGTTAGAAGGATATTCTGGCACTCCATGTATAAAATTGTGTTTAGGCAGTCTTGCTTGCTATGTCT